CATCTCTTCACCAAGTCAGGATTCTGCGAATCATTTAACCTCTCTGGGCATCATGAAGATACAAATAAAAATCTCTGGTCTACTTAATTTACATTCTAGGACTAAAACAGGATGTGTATGCAAAAGTGTATTTTAAAAGGAAAAGTGCTATTAAAAAACCTAGTATTTGTTATTAGAACATGTCTTTCTACCTTTTATGATGGCAGAGAAGAAACTGGAGACTATTACGCTAAAGGAATTAAGCCAGTCAGTGAAAGACAAACACCATGTGAGCTCACTTCCGTAAGAGCAATCTAATGAACAAAATAAACTAATAAGCAAACTAGAACTAGAGGCATAGAAACATGGAAGAGACTGACAGCTGTAAGAGAGGAGAGGGGAGATAAGCACTGATTGAAAGAAGGTGAAAGGATTAGTCAAAGAACATATATGAAGGACCCATGGACATGGACAACAGTGAGGGGGCTGACTATGGAATTGGGAAGTGAGCTGGGGGGAGAGGGGGTGAAGTGGGGAAAGTGGGACAATTGTACTAGCATAAACAATAAAATATTTAAAAAAATAACATGTCTTACACTGAATTTGAAAATCTACCAAGCAACCTAAAGGTCTCGGATTTGACCAGTTCCTCATATTAAATTTTAATGAGGGCACCTACTCTCTTTGACACTCCACTGAGCAACCAGAACTGAATGTGTGTGTATGTGTTGTGGTGGGTGTGTTTTGATTCAGATCAGCCTGTCTCCTTATTACACTAAGGTCTTTTCTTACTGGTATCTGCTTTCAAAGGTCCTTCAGTTGGAAACTGTGGAAATATTATGCAAGAGAAATACATAGAAGGCAAAAGGAAAACATGGAAACAAACTTCCTGACAAGGTTAACACTAGCTCGTGTCTTCTAGAACTTTTCCTCATATAGCAGAATAAACATCTGCACTTTAATATGCGGTGGAGAGAGAAGACACCCTTGCGTCAGCTGGTGATGTATTCTAACAGCTACAGACTCATCTCCCAGGGCTCCTCATTCAGTGTGATTAATCCGTTAACAAGGCCGATTTACCAAACCACGCAGGTTGTGGATTAGAAGCCAACTACTTCCTGCTCTTCTGGAATAAGTGAAGCCATAAATAATCTAATACCAATTTTTCCTCCCACAAAATACAATGCCCTCAAATTTGTAGAAGAGTAGAGTGCAGCTTGAATTGGTTTGTCAAGTAATTCTATGACTGAAGTCACTGGAGGGTATGGTAATCGATTAGTCCCTGATGCCATTTTTATTTCTTTGGATTAACAAAACTCATATCCCATCCAGGCATGATGTCTCTTCCTTTTTGTCTTCTTGTCTCCTGGCATTTTAATCAGGGACACGTCACAGCTGTTTTGAGGAAAGTGCTCCCAGGAGCTTTCGTTAAAGCTGGAAGGATAAATCTGTTTGTAGTGTGATGAACACTATCATTAATAAAACACTGAAATAATTAATGAATTAAATTCTGCTTTGTGTGTGAATAGCTACACTTAGGATCTCTGAAAACCTGTCTCCTGAACAGACAGGTTAGCTATGCGCTTACTTGTAAAGATGAAAAGAAAAAACTGACACTGTGTTTCTCCAAGATTCATAGCATTATAGACAACTACAGCGTGAATGGAGAAGGTAACATTACCTTAATTTTGTAGGAAAAGAAACTCAGTTTCAAAAAGGTTAATGGCTTGGGCTCTAATAACGCATTTGAAAATTAAGATTTTTAAATAGCACCATTGATAGCCTGAGTCTCCTCTTTGAATCCATGATTGTTTAACCAAAAACAAAAGCAAGAGAAGATTAAATTAATAATAAGAGAAGCAGCTCTAGGACACAGAACAGAATGAATACTTTGAGAAAAATGAGCAAATTTCATGGTGTAATTAAATCTGCTGTTGACAATTAAGAGGCTTCAGCTGCTCAGGATATGAAGTGGCCTTTGGAGCAGGATATGACCATGTGCAGACCTATGAGTTGAGACTTCCCTTCGTGCTCCTTCTCACTAAACTGCCTCTTGTTTTTAAGCTCTCTGGCAGACAATAGATCTCACAGGAAGCACCATTGTGAACATTCATATCAACGGTTAATGGTGCATTGTTTCTTTTATGTCACTCAGTAATTTCCTAGAAAAAACAATGGGAACTGAAGGCTGTTCCTGTCTTGAAGTCAGTTTCCAATATTGCCTTATTAATTTAACACATGCAAGTGTTTGTCCTTGTTGCTACAGCAACATGTTTGTGGGCTCTATTTGATGCAAAATGTGAAAGAGCTGAAAAAGAAAACGGATGCCATCCACATACTGATGTGCACAGGCAGAGAGATGTCCATGAGCCACGCCTCCTGTGATAGGGCATGTGCCTTGTACCCGCAGTCCAATTATGTTGTACTTGGATATTTTGTAAAGCATTCATCCAATAAAAAACAAGGAGCTAACCACTTCCACGGAGTTTTTGAAAAGCTGGAAACAAATGAAATTATTCATAATTATGTGTTGGGTGAATGTTAGGTGCTTCTACCATGTACACAGACACAACAAGCATGGCAATGAGCCCTCTGACCTCCTGAAGGAGGAAAAGCTCATTTTACGTCAAGGTGAGCAGACACTAAGTTTCTCTGACGTTCGCCTTCTAGGAGGATGAAAGAGCAAGGGTCCTGCATTCCTGGCTTAGAGGGAGTAACCACCCAAGTCATGTCGGTGTGTGCTTTCTCAGTGGGGGGAAAGTATAGCGGAAGTGAGTGATGCTTCACCAGATCCACCTGAATGCATAGGGACAGTAATGAATGATAAAGATGCAGCATACTAACAAGAAGCAGGTGCTAGAGTCCCACAGACCCTGCTTCTAAGCCCAGTCACTAATTGTGACCTAAGGTAGTTAATAATTTCTCTGAACCTCAGTGTTCTCATTTTTAAAAAGAGGGTAATTGTATCTCCTTTGCAGATTGCTGGATTAAATAAAAATGTCAAGTATTCAGCAAGGTCTGGCCACATAGTAAGGACTCAATAAATGGTAACTATTTTATGAATGGTACAATTGTTAACTATGTCTAGCTCTCTTCTCTCTAGTACATGTAGAATTGCTGCTCTCCAATGCATAGCGTGGTTGTGGGACATACTTTGGCAGTAAAGTGTGGGTGGAAGTGATCTTTTCGAGGGAACGCAAGGGCCAAAGTGTTCTGCCGCACTCTTTCCTCCTTTGTCTTGATGAGAGGCAACATTTCAGATGATGGCCGCTCCTTTGTGTGGGTCCTGGTGCAAGGAGATGTAGAGCGGCCCTTGGCTAACCCGGTGGAAGGTAAAATGAGCAGAAAGTAAACCTTCCTGTTTGGTTACTTCACTTCTCTTAATTGAGCTCTGATGGAAGAGTTGGAACATTTGAGATTTTTTTCTTCTGGAGCAATCTCAAATTGCATCTAATTCCTGAGAATGATGTAAATTCTGTCCTGTTGAGAATGCTTTGCAAGAGCCTCCTTTGTCTCCATGTTTCTATGGACCGGCCTTGCACAGAAGAATTGTTGCAGCTGCAATTTCAGGCCTTGCAAGACCACTGCCCCTAAATTATTGAGAGCTCTCCACATTACCAAGAATAGAACTACATTACCATACAAACACGCTTAGCATTGCAAAACATAAGCTTTCCTCTAGAGGCATATCTGTCAATCATACAGAGCCGCTTGCTGGTTTAAGATGTGGAAAAACAAGTTACCAAGAAATATTTCAACATAGGCAAATTCATTTCATTTCTGACATAATCTAGAGCTGGATTCAGCTATCCCAAGGTAGAAGTCTCATCTTTTCTCACCCTCTAGACATTTCTCAGCATTATCATTTAGAGGTTAGCATGAGTTCAGTTTCCTGTAATAGGCCATTTCACTTTAAGTATATGTTAAACTAATATTGACCTTTCCAAAGTAAAACAAAATCTGGTATTTTGTTATCAAAAGACTGAAGCAGCAATAAATGTGGAAAGCAGGGGATTAATCATCTCGGTTTTTCCTTGCCTAGAATTCTCTCTGGGAATTAGTCATTTTCATATATTTAACAATGAATGTAAGACGGGCTCTGCCTACTCTCTTCAAAAGGAAGCCTGGCTCCTTCAGCAAATCACTTTGTATAATTTGCCCACAGTTTAGCCCACTCAGCTGATATGTGTGTTTCATTTGACAGTGGGTGAAAAAGTTAAGAATGCAAGCAACAAGCTTCATGTGGGAGTATCCAGACATCAAAATTGGGCAAATTTGAGGATTGGGAGTGGTGTTAGGATTAACTCCAGAGAGGAGTGAAGGGTGTGGTTATCGGTTGGGGGTGGGGGGAGGAAAGTCTGTGGGGGATAGAAGGGTCGTGGCAGGCAAGGGAATGCCAGAGCAAAGTGAGGAAAGCAAAAACAAGTTAACTAATAAGAACATGAATATGTGCTTTTCATACACGTATGTGTAAACATAATCCACAAAGACAAGTGCCCTCAAATAAACTGCCTCCTGGGCATGTGCTATACTGACCTGTGTGGAAAAGTGAACCTCAATCCATTCCGTCCCTTCTTCCACAAAAATAAACAAGTAAAAGAAAACAACCTATACTTAGGAAGAATTATTTCATGCAAGTCTATAAGTAGATTTAATTTACTTCATCAAGGAAATAAACATCTGTTGAAGTAGGAAGCATACTAATAAAAACCGTGCAATTGTTGGAAAAAATCAGACCTTTCAGTATTGCCAAAGTGAGACATCTGTGCTCAAATTCTGTAAATAGTTGTATGTACATATCTGAGAAGACACATGGATCTTCAGGGATATCACCTGGGCCTGCTTAGTTCTGATGGGGTGCCATTGTGACATGATGATGCCACAGAGTGACTTGCTTGCTGCCCTTTGGCCTTCTTTTCTCACTGGAAGGCATTTAGCAGGCACTGCTTTTTTTTCAACAACCTTTTAAGATGACCCAAATTGTCTCCCACTCTGAATGTGTCTGGTCTCATGAGACATACCTGTATCCACTCTCGGAAGGAATCTTCTCCAGGGGTCCACCCATTCTCCGGGTAGTTTAGGCGGGAGCGTTCTGAGGACCAGTTGGTGCTATACTGGGAAGAAGCTGTGATGTGGTCAGAATGAATCTCTCCTGATTCCATGCCCAGAGCTTCCATACATTTAAAATCTGAAGGAAGGAAAATCACCCAAGGTCATTAAAGTGCAGGGCACCTATGGTTCTGTTTTTAATCTGGCAGACTAAAAAGTTCATCTTGTGTTCACACAAAGTTTTACTAAAGATGACAGTCAGGGACTTATTAAAACATAGCATTAATACACGCATTTTCATGGCAATTGTTTTTATTTCTGTTTTGTTTGTTTATTCTGTTTTATAGAGTCCACATGCAAATAAAATCATATGGTGTTTTTCTTTCTCTGACTTATTTCACTTAGTATAATATCCTCTAGATCTACCCACGTTGTCTCAAATGGCAAGATTTCGTTCTTTTTTATGACTGAATAACATTCAATCATACAAGATCTGTCTAGAGGGTAACCAACCATGTAATATGAAAAATAGAGACATTTATTGAAAGATACAAGATACAAGAAACACTGTACATAGGACAATGATGCCTCAGGCCCCTTCCAAGTAAGCACTTTGGGACCTCACACAGTTTTCCCAAACACCATCAGTTGCCCTGCCATATTTTCCTGAATTTCATCCATGGTCTCAAATCTCTTTCCTTTCAAATGTGATTTTAGTTTTGGGAAAAGCCAGAAGTTGCAGGGCACCAAATCTAGACTGTAGGGGGGCTGAGTCACCTGGGTGATTTGACATTTTGCCAAAAAACTTGGCATGAGATGTGATGCATGAGCTGGTGCATTGTCATGATGAAAGTGGCAATCACCATTTGCCCATAGCTGCAGCCTTCTGAATCATCTGAATAGTTTCCATGGAGAAATGTTCAAGCTATGCACAATCGGATGCAGATTCATTGCTCTACTCGCTCAGTAATTTTGAATTCAATGGCCACACAGTACACATGCTCACTCAGAGGCATCTACTGCCCCCACTGACTAGTACAGTGAAGGAATCATTGTTCACGCATGCACATTCCAGTCCACTCTCCTTGGCTGCCAAGTTACATGGATGTCATGCAAACTATTCTCATTATATGAGTATTAAAAATGGCTGGACTTTTTCTGGGCAGACCTTGTATATATGTATCACCTTTTCTTTATCCATTAGTCTATCAATGGACACTTAGGTTCATGGCAATAATTATTTTAATGCAAGGCTATGAAGATCTCACAGCAATTAAATATTTTCCCAGCTGGATGTTAACAGGAATACTATTAGAAATTCCATCATTTTTAGTAAATGATGAAAATTCTGATTTATTTTCAAAGTTGAACATATGTAGGTGTCACATGGACACACACAAAAAATTGTGTTTCAATAAAATTTTGCTATGGAGTTATTTCCCCAAATATCTAATAAAAGTGAAAGGTTTTTATGTCCATTTACATACATATTCAGTGGATACAGAAACTTAACTCTCTGTCTTTCAGAATCCTTGCAATTGGCACCTAGGCCACCTCTTCTCAAGCCCTTAACTTCTCATGCTGCCTATCCCTGGCCTGGTCATGATTATTAATATCATCAATTTTATTAAAATACGAAAGTATCTATCAGAGGTAAACTGATGTATCATATGGTCCCAAAGAGCACAAGAGTTTTTAGGGCATAAAATAATAATGCCAACAATGATGACCATGTATTTTCACTAGGTTTCATCCACTCAGCAAAACAGTAAAATATGAAATTGATAAGACATATGATATTGGGAAGTGAATCATCAATTTTAGGAAAATGTGAATCTAAAGCACAAAAGTGAAAAAAGCTTTAGAGATGAAATAGAAGATTGTCAACCATCTAGAAAATCTCAGTTAATCAAAATTTTTCATTTTTTGAATTTTGTATCACAGTAAGTTAGGTTTTGTGGCATAGAAGGTTTTCATTCACTGGTTTCATATTTTTAAGGGAAGGTTTGTTATTTCTAATATAGAAATAGTTATAGGCACAAAATACATGAATTAATTGAAGTACAAATAGCTTTTTGAAATTTAATTGGCCTTTTTATTTCCCAGTTAGAACTGGTAGAAAAGGATGAGCATATCTGTAGGACAGATCTCCAAACAGCCCGTCTTCTCCCTATCCTACTTTATAAACCAATAGCTAGAACTGATGAAACACAACTTATTCATTGTCCTCCAGCTTTTTTTTTCTTGGGCCCTTCAAAAAGTTAGAGACCACATAAACTTTGAGGAAGGGCTGAATTAGAGTATTTTAATAAGATACAGACACATATTCCTTTATTTTCTTTCATGCAAAGTTGTAACAGAAATTAAAACATACTTCTTTTACATTAATACCCACTTTCATTCACATAAGAAGGAAAGACGCAACAGCTTCCCTCAGGATCTCCACGGGCCAAACCACCATGCACCATCCACTCTACAGGGCTGCCCTGTTAATGATCCACCGCAGATTCATTCCTACCATCTGTGATCAATGCCTATGCTTTTATGAATCTCAGCCCAATACATACTTGAGGATGCCAGGTAGGCAGCCTGGTATATTACATTGTTTCAAGGCAGTGTTTTTTCATTTCCCACTTTCTCCCATAATTTCAGAGCCCCATAAGCAGCCATCTCATCTACAATTTTATTAAGAAAGCACACGAGATAGTTCTTGCTACTGATATTCGTAAAACCCATTTAAAAGAGAAAAATAAATAGCTGGCAGTCCAATTCACAAAACATTTCTTTAATGTTTCACACTGCCCCAGGTATGTGAGGAGAAATAACAAAGTGTATTTATCACAGGCTTTTCAAGATGAATGAGCACTGACCTTCTGAGATGCTGCTCTGCAGGATGCTGTAGTTTGCTGAGAAGCCTTCTTTTGCTATCGCACTGTCAGTATTAAAAACCATTGATAAAATACCCGATGAGGAACGAATTCGACCTGGTGTTTTCTGTCCACAGTAACGCCCAATGTGAGGGCCAACTAGAAAGGGAGAAATGGAGAGAACATTAAAATATCTTTTCTTTCACAGTAGATGCAAGAATCACCATTTGCAAACATGTGTCCCAGTGGAACCCAGAAGTATTTTCCTACCCAAAGTGTCTTCTCTGGTTAATTGCTTTGCAATGAACATGTTGGATTAAGTTTGCAGAGAGGGTTTCCAAGTGTGCTCAGAAGGTCAATAACAGACATAACCATGTTCCTTAGGGAATCAGGAACAGAATCAAAATGCTTGCTTCAGTTTCAAAGAATGAGATCTGAGCTACAAAATTGCACCTTGACATTCATCTCAGGACCAGATTGCACACCCAGTCCCATGCATTGGTCAGCAAGGTCTCTTGGAGTTGCCTGACTTCACTCCCCTGCCTTAGAATGAAATCCCAGGAAAGGTCTATATCCTGGGAACTTGTCTGAAACCAGGGCAGTGCTAAGGGTCTGGTCCAGCCCTGCATAACCCCAATCTCCTTCCTTTTCCATAGTTTAGTCCTGGAGGTTTATTATGACAAACATCCCTGACTTGGATAAAGGATCATGTCTGACTCAGGGCTTAATGTGAACACTAATTTACAACTGTCACAATTTAAAAGGTTTGAAACTATAGAAACCAATAGCAAGTTGTAATCAAAATGAAAGGCAAATACATTTTTCTGACTTCTGTCCCAGTTTTTTCTCTCCCAACACTACAAGAGGTGACTACATTGACCTGGTGTCCACTGGCTCAGAGAGGCCCAGCAGCTGTTAACTGTGTGCGCCAGGAGAAAAGTGGTACCTGAGGAAGTGAAGGTTTGGGAATGCCTGATTTATGATGAAGTTAAACTGCTATTTTGCTTGAACTGGCCAGCCCCTTGTTGAAGTGCTTTTAGACAAATCTTGGCAATTAGTAATTCTAAGTTGCCTTATGGATGGTGCAGATGCCCCCTGGGCTTGGAGAATCTTTTCATTTTCCTGCCTAGATCAGCAGCAAGACAAAAAAACAAGTCCCATTTTCTCTATGTTTTTTTTTTCATTGCACATATGGTAAAAACATACCAGACGGTTTGGGCTTAGAGAGACAATATGGTGTGGACCACTTTCTTCTACAAGAAACTTATGGTTCTGTGCATTTCACTGAAGAGTTATTGCTTTGTTCAAGGAAGCACAGTAGGTGGACCTGTCCCAGACAGAATAGGCCTTCAATAGGGAGGTGGTGTTCCAAAGCCAGTGTGTGCAGCTTGGATGCAGGAGGCTATGGATGGGAGCAAGGAGAAGCTCCAAGTATGATTAAACAGTGAACTTCACAAGAAGTGATTGCTAGGCTGGCATCTAATCTGAGCACCCTGCTTTTTTGAGTGCTTAGATCCTTGGCTAACAGTTTTTCAGCTCTTGACTAACCCTCTTGGGGAAGCAAAAAGGAAAAGAAAAACAAAAACAAAGCCTAACCCAAAGTGGTTTACATAGTTGAGTTAGTGCAAAATGGTTATTTTGAATATCTGATACTTTTTCATATATTCAAGTAATTAATATGATAGAATTCAGTGAGTTTTCTGTGTACTATAACCCCTTAGTCTTCAGCAACCAAACTCTGTGTGTATGTGGGTTGCTTTATTATGAAGAAAACAAGGAGGTTGACCCATTTAAAGATATTGATAGAAATTATCTACAGGGCATCACATGGTCATGGACAGTGTCTTTGCAATATGGGAAGAACATTTTGTTACATTAGGCTTCCTTGCTGGCATAAGAGAGTATTTCAGAAGATGAAACTCTTGCTGTTTTTTGTTTCTTTTAATCCTGGCCACAGATCTTTCTACAAGTGCCAGATTTTCCTCATTCTGAATGTGGCCCTGCCATAATCCAACACTGTTTTTCTTCATTATGGAGTGCAAAGTTGCCCATAACATATGCATGAAAATATCTAACTAGAGTCATAAACTCAGGTCTTTTCTTTCCTCACAAAGAATCCCATTTCTGGCCTTCAATCTCAATGGAAGGCTTAGAGTCCTAGTCATACTCCCTCATTTACATTCCATTACTGTGGTTTCATAACTTTCTCTTTCTTTAGTTTGTAGGCAAACTTTTACAGCCCTAATCCTTGGGGTTGTTCTCTGATCACAACGGCCCCTGACCTATCCGAGAATACAGGGCTAAAGGGAAGCTGCAGTCACCCCCTTAGCTCTGGCTGCTGATCCCCTCCTCCGCTGTCACCCAATTTCTCTGGGGAGGGTGGGGAAAGGGTAGCCTCTTTGAAAGAGCAAACAGAAGAGAACTTGTCTAGTGCAGACTCATAATTTAGAGTCTCCATGACTCACTGGTTTATAATGTGTAAGACAAGCTGTGTAAATCTGCCTTCTGTCCCTTAGAACATTGCCCCCAGACAGCAGCATGCAACTCTCTCCAGGAGCCCTCAAGATATGAGAGTGAAAGGCTTTTTCGACTATAATACAAAGAAGTATTGAATTTTCCTGGACAACAACAAGACCTCAGACTAGCAAGCTAATGCAATATTGATCTGAGGGAGAGTGGGTGAAGTACTTTTGGCCATCATGGGTGTGTGCACATTTATGAATTTCCATGAACACAGCGAACATATTTTCTACTTCCATTCTTTTGGACCCAAGGCCAAAAAGAGGAAAAGTGTCAGAAAAACAGAAGTATCATTCAAAAATTGAATTATTAAAGAATTTAAGTAAGCAACATGCACTAAGCTATCTCTTGAGGGAGAGTAGACCTACAATTATCAAATTTTCTCAAGTATGAAGTCAATATATTACTTGTTTGTTTTAAAAGCTATACCTGCAATTGGGAACGGCAGTAATGGAATCTTCTTTATGTTTTTCCTTTAATATCTCCAATAATTACCACCCTACCTCAGAATCAGGCAATTTGACTTTCTGCTACCTTTCTATGTGAAAAAAGGGCAGTGAGCTACTATAAAGAGTAACTTTTAAAATGAGATGCTTTGAGTAAGTAAATAAATGAGGAAATCATTTTAGAAAGGTACAAGATAGACCTTGTACACTAGTCTTACAATAATGAGACTTCCAAAGGAGAGCATCTGGGCTTTGCAAATTTTCCCCAGAAAAACATCTCCACATTTATAACATTTATATTTTGGAATGTTTATATTTATATCATTTATATTTTATATTTATAGTTTAGAAGGTTAATTTTAATATAAAAGTAAAATTTGAAAAACAGCATTTAATCTAGCTTTTATGAAACTTGTTCCTAAAATCATCACTAATGCTTGCAATTTAGGTAACAATGGCAGTTTAAGCCCCTGTCCCCAGCCCAGAAGAGGGGTGACTTCACCTGCACACATATGCTGTAAGCTAAGCCTTCGTGCTTGGCTCCATAACACAGCACAGGCATTTGAGGCAGGGACCGGGCAGCATGTTTAGCTCATGACTCTCAAGCCATATGTAAACTTCCCCAATTACTTCAGAGTTGCTACTTGTGAATCCACAGAGCTTCAAAGAGCATGATAGATGGAGATGTGTGGTTCATAATGTGCATGCCTCGGATTTCCAGTTTGGGAGTAAACTGCTTTTCGTCAAAGTCGATCTGAATCAATGGGTAGCTTTCAATTACTTAGTCATCTAGTTCAATGTTTATGATAAAATGCAACAATATAACATCACTTGATGGTTAAAAGCCTTCAGTGCTCTCTGGTTGTTGTTTTTGGAAAGAATATCAAATACAAAAAGCAATTTCGCTGGCAGAGCAACTGTATGTGTTGAACTACAATGAAAAAAACGTTGCCAGTGCCATTGACAGAAACCCTGGAGAATGCAGGTTCTCATTTTGCCTAAAAAAGAGAACTGCTTTGCTGGCATAGGCTGGATGAGGCCAGGTAAATATTAACACATACAAACACAATTTTATCACTCCAAAGCAAGTTTTCTCTGGGAATGAATCAAAAGCATCATAGTTTAAAACAAGGGTGAATTGGAAGGCCAATGGCTCAGTTGTTAATTGTTCTTCCCTTCAACTCAGTGATTTTCCAAGCCAGAAAATTACTACTTTGAAAAACCCTGAGCACTAACAACAATGTGCTTCTTTCTGGAAGTACTCTAAATAAGTGGGTTGATTGGACCTCCTTTTCAGATGTCAATTTAAATGTAAGTTCTAGAAAGGGAGGCTGCAAATTTGGGTTGGGAACAAATGACCCCTTTATTAAATCTTCCAAGTATTATTATAGTACTACTATAATATTGTTTTTCCTAATTATCAGATTGACTACTTGGAGATCAACCAGTACTCTGGTTGGGCAAATCTCATTACTTAATGGAAGAGTTTTGATAAGCCCATCATAACCCTATTTATATGATAAAAGAGCAAAGAAGCAGCTAAACTACTGTTAACCATGCATTGAGAGTATATGCTTTCTGTAAACCTAGTTTTCTCCTCAACTGTTTAGGAACATATCTAAATTAAATTACACTAATAATTTTAATGTCATCTCAAAGACAAAGGCAATCTCTTTCACATTATACTTGCTCTCCATCTACAATTTATTTAAAAACTTTTTCCTCCAACTTGATAATAATATTCGATAATAATATTTTATAGATGGTTATACATATCTAACTGCATGATTTGTAAGCACTTCCCAGTTGCCCTTTCTGATTTATGTAGTGTATTCTGTATAGAAATCTTAATATTAAACCAGACTAAACACAAGCCAAGCAATGCAGCTGCAGCAAATTATTTGATATTATCTCCCTGTGTTTAGAATTTGGGTGTGGGTGTGTATTTTTGTCATTCACCTTCTAATTCACAAGGATTGAAATGAAAACTTTCCTTTAGTTGTCCACATGGCTATGCCCTCCACCTCCTTCAAATCTTAGCTCAAATGTCACTTTCTTTAGATGGCCTAGCCTAACCACCTTAGTTACAAATTAACCCATACATCCTCTCTCCCAACACCAGCACTTTTCATGCCTTTACACTGCTCTCCTTTTTCTTTCTTTTACTTTTTTTTGTCTATAGAACTTCTCAACTTCTACCATTCCATGCACATAATTCATTTATTTGCAATGTGCCTTGTTTATTGTCTCATTCTCCTGCAGAATCTAAGCTCCACAAAGACGGCCATCTTTGACTGTTTTATTACCCAGTGGTTAGAATAGTGCCTGGGACAGAGCAGGTGCTCAATAAATATTTTTAAAGTGTATAATGAATTTAGATGATAGGACCAATACATATAACTAATGTACTGAGGTGACTCAATTTACCAAAGATAAAAAACTCACTAGAGAGCAGGCAGAAATTCTCATTTCTCTTCTAAAGTTTTTGATAGCATAATCGATGCTTATGTCACCCTTAAAATTTTTTCAAGTACTTAACCTCTTTTAGGATCTGCATTTGTAAAATGAGTAAATGGATATAATTGATCTCTTAAGATCTTCTTCTCTGATCTCTTAAAATCAAATGAGTGGTTTGATTTAATTGATCTCTTAAGACAGTCTATGAATTAATGACCACTAAGCAGGTCAATGAAATGAACAACATACTTTAGTCAGGAAAACTATGTGTTGGTTCTAATTCCATCACCAAGAAAAGCTATAAGGCCTTGCATTATTGTTAATGGCCTCAGTTTCTTTATCTATAACATGAAGAGTTGAACTGGATAATTGCTAAGGCAATTCGAGCTCAAATATTTCATTGATGCTCTACATAGAATTACCATTTCATCTTGTTTTCTCTTTTCCTTCTGAGCTATTTTTTAAAAACGATGCATGTATCATGACACGAGTGAAAGGATCCTAGTGCCCCTCCTCTACGTCCTTCCATTTTGGGGACTCTTCCTGCCCTTCTTACCATCAGGGAATCCATCCCAGATTTCTAGCCGGTCATAGCGACAGAACATGCCCCCTGGAGGATTTGAGTCAAGTTCCAGGTCAAAGCTTTCAAATTCCAGGATAATTTCGGACATCTTTGGTGCAAAGATAATATAAGTGCATTCAAGGCTGTTGGGATATTTTTCAGGGAATCCAGGAGACTTTATCACTCCACTAGGGCTTGTGTAGTTCTGGGAACACTCAGGACCTATGAGCAAAAGAGAAAAAAGAACAAAGTGAAAATCCCCAAAAATGACTTCACCAAGAAATAACTTGGGCAAAGATAGCATATCTTTCTAATAAAAGCTCATCATTGCAATCACTGTCCTAATCATTCAGCCTGCTCACAGTAATGCTAGGAATGAAAAGCCAAGTTCAGATTTATTGTGTTCACCCTAATTTTTCATTTGTGTAGAGCAATTTTAAAACTTCTGCTGTTGCAGAGAAAGAAATGACAAATATAAAACCGTGAGGGAACAATGAAATGAGTAAGCTACAGAAATCTCTCAACAGAGCCCTAGAGAAATAATTATAGCCCCTTCAAGTTTAAATCCTTAAATCTTGAGGCTGACAACCCTTTATTGGTGAAATGGAACATTTACAAAGGCAAGGCAAAGAATTCAACAGAGAGAGTTTGGGTTTCAGATTCCAACACCAGTGACTCAGTAACTTTGCCAGATGTGACCTCTGCCTCTATGACAAACTAAATGTGAAAAGTAATTTGTACATGTACCCAGGGTGAGTGACTCATTCCAAGTGGTGTTGACACAGGTGTGCCGGTAAAGTGTGGCTGCTAGTGAGGGCACGATAAACTGTGATTACAGGCCGCATTGGTAGAAGTCACCTGATATCAATGTCGACACCCTAACCTTCTCCAAAGTATCATATACAGTGCTGTATGCCATTCTAAAATTTACATATATATGTGTGTGTAATACACATAATTTTAATGGGTGATTTTAATGACTATTCAGTGTTATCAGATTTTAAAAATTACAGTGATTTGTAATTTAAATTGGTCAAGCATTCTGGAACATAATGGCAAGTTGGCCCTATAACTATACAAATGACCACAATTTCAGTTCATAGCACCAAGCACTGAGTAGGGTGGTACTTACCACAGAGTTGAAAAACTGGCCATCTGCATGGATGTGGGCACATGCATTCTGCCCCTTCTCACCACCACCACTGTCATGATCTTCAAAGAGCCCTTAAAGCTCTCTCTGAATCAAATATGACTTGATACATTTGACTCTCAGGATCCAATCTGGGGGTGTCCAATTCAACAATTCTTTCCCTGGGCCATTGTGCCACTGATGGCATGCAAGGATTCCACTCTAAATAAGGTGATTTATCAACTCAAGATAATTCTTAAGTACTAGAGGCACTATATTAGGCATCAACACAGATTAAATTTTACCAGCAGATCTCTAGTGTTAGTCGTGAGGGTTAGCAGGCTAAGTCTCCACCTCAGTGTGTCTGGCAGCCTATTGAGAAAACTGATCTCCTGCTTCCTCCCTGTGTGCATGTTAGATGTCCACCGCATAGGGGACATGGAAGAATGATACTGATTAGAAGGCCATGGAACCTGGTCTGCAGAGAGCTGACTTGTTTAAAATACTCCCCCAAAGCCTTGTCAGTGAAGCTTACACTTTACTGTGATGACCTCAAATACTTATCTATTTGATTCTAGTTGAAAAGTTATTAATATGTGGCATTTTGCCATAACAATTCCAAGTAAAGAGATTATGAGATATACCATATAGTTTGTAATCGTTTCTAATTGGTAGATTCTGAGATGACAGTGACTATGCCAATTTATGTCCTTAACTCACTATATAATAAATATTAGGGGCTCTTTAGAATTTTTTTCCCAAGATGTAGGAACAGTGACCCTGGAGACCTCTAAACCTCTTTGCTGGGGCAAAAAAGGCTTTCGCTAAGCCCTTGTAAGACAAAGCAAACAGCAGGGTTTAATGCAAGTACTACTATTTTCTTCTTCTTAGATAAAACTGTCCAGGTGAGATTAAGATTTAGTGTGCAGAGAAAAGAATGACAGGAATTAAGGGCATACTTTCCAAATTAAATATATTTCAATGCTTTCACTGTGTCCTTGTCTTGACAGACACCTTTGGAAGCTAAGCTGGGGAAATCCCGTGCAGTGATGGTAGAGAACTAGATTGAGCACCAGAAGGTCTAAGTTCCAGTCCTGCCTTTACCGCTAACCTGCTGTGTAGTGTCAGGTGGCTTCCTAACCTTTGTGGTCCTCAGAATCTCTGCATAGCAAATAAGAAGTGGACTTTGGGATTTGAAATAAAATCCCTTTAAACTAAAAGGATTCTACAACTCCCTACTTTCTCCCACATACATCAAACATGTTTCTTTTAATATTTTCTTCATTCACAGTTGCATAAATTTGCCACAGTTGAGTAACAATGTCCCCAGAAAAGATGTAGCAGGAGTGGGTTAAGGAATTCTGCAGTGAGTATACAAGGAAGAAACATGAAGGGAGGGCAGCAGCACCATGTTCCTAGGAACAAATGAGCTGCAGGTAGGAAACGTGCACACCCAGCACTGCAGCCAGCAAATACCATGCTTTTGATGTTATCTGTAGGACTGAGCGAACTTTGTGTAGCTATGAATGACCACATTTCTTTGTTAATGACAATAAGATTGGATAATAATAATAATTAAGATACTCTTTTTGGAAATATTATTAAATATATAGACTTTTAATCAAATAACATGCAAAAGTGACCCTTCCTGCTTTTGGTAAATGTCCTCCTCACCTGCACTGAGACCCACAGAAAAGGACCTACAGCTTTTTCCTGCAATTGGGCCTGTATGACCCACACCAATGGAAGGACAGGAAGAGTGATACATGGGAAGTGTTGGGTTTCCTAGAGAAATTTCTTTAGGTGAATGGGAATAATTTTAAGGCTGACGGCCCCAAGTTTTGGCATCTGTAAAGAGATGTAGAGGGAAAATGTGGGGTCCCTAGGGAAAGAAATTGGGTTCCAAGATGCTCTAGGAAGCATGGGAAGCAGTAGGGACTAGACTTGCTCTCCCTCAGGCAAAAGTATTCCTGTAGAACTTCAGCCGGGATTCAGATATGGAATATCTAAGTCTTCCTTAGATCTATAATCAATTTCCAGGAAGCCTCAAGGTCACAGGGGAAAGATTCATTTATTGGATCATCTATGACATGTGTTTTGAGGAAACTTGAAATTTCTGTACCTTGGAAGATGTGTTATGTTTTAAAAGGAAGAAAGATTCATAAATTCTATAATACCATGAAATGACTTTTGGGGGGAGAATGTCCATGAACCTGTATATGTATGCATAAATGTATTATGTTAGTTAATGACTTTTTATGGAGAACCTGTATGTGCAGTAAGGGAAAGAAAAGATATTTTATTTGCACTTTTCAGGTGGTACCAATCTAGTTGGGAAAGGAGAGGAGATTAAGATGGCGAAGGAGTGAATGGGAGTCACGCGGACCTCCTCCTTCCAAGACCAAACTGGAATTGCGACTAAATAGTGGAGTAATCCCCTGGAAAAAAAGTGCGGTGGAGGCTCGAGAGGGTGGGCTGGGTGCCCACGGGCACGAGCACCAGAGGGACATTGAAACAGCCAGTTAGCTTCCCCCGAGAAGAACGGGGTCTGAATCAAAAACAGGGACCCCTAAACTACAGCAGCTAAAACCAAGAAAATACAGACAAAACAGAACCCCGAAAAGCTTAGGGGCGCTCTCTGCCAGAGACAGGCAGCTGGGGATGCAAAGAGACATTTAAAAGCCCAACGCAAAAAATTGCAGTGGCAGCCACCCTCCTTGAGCTCTGGGTAGAGACGGCAGCAGGGTGGGCTGGTGCCTGGGAAAAGACTGGTGAGGAAAACTTTGTGAAGAGAACTGACAGGGCGGCCGGTGGAGCCCCAGTGATGACGCACCTCCCACCCTGCAGCTACCATCTCGCTCAGGCATAAGAGAATCAATTAACCTGCCTTTTGTGTGCTCCGCACACAGCTTGTGCATGTGAGCTAGGGTGCTGAGTGCAGACTGGTTGGGAGAGCCTTGAGGAGAGACTGGAGACGGAGGCGTTGGGGAAAGAACGGGAGGAGGAACCGGAGAGTCCCGACTCCCTCCCCATTCCATAGTCTCCATTGTGGGCTGGAAAGGCGCGACCCCAAAGAGGCAGAAGCGGGGCACGCATGAACCAGAATGCCTGCGATTGAAATGCCCTCCGCACAGGGAGTGCATCCTTGGCCGAAGGGGTCACAGAACTGCCCAGAGACCCTTGAGGAGAGACTGGAAACAGAGGCGTTGGGGAAAGAACGGGAGGAGGGACAGGGGAGTCCCGACTCCTTCTCCTTGCCGTAGTCTCCATTGTGCGGGAAGAGGCCACACCCCCAAAGAGCCAAAAGCTGAAAAGCACACATAGACACCCCAAAGACACCCAGTGAAGGTACGCACACTTGTGCCAAGTGACCCGCGAGGGTTGGCGAGCGTGTGTGTGACCCGCGCAGGCTGGTAAATGCTTGCACCGGCCGGCAAGGCCTCCCACAGATTGGCACCAATATGGCCAGCGAGCGTGTGCACAGAGCGGCAAGGACAGGTGTAAATTGACCCGCCCGGCCCGTGATTGCAGAGTGGCTGACAAAGTTAGTAGATCCTGGGCTGAAGGGGTCACGGAGCTGCCCAGAGTCCCTGGCGGAGAGACTGGAGACAGGATAACCGGAGAGTCCTGGAGCTGACTTCCTCCCATTTCCGTAGTCCCCATTTGGCGAGGGCAAGCAACGCACCCAAAGAGCCAAAAGCAGGGAAAACACACAATAGAAGACCCTAAACGGACCAGTGCCAGTGAGCTCACCGGCCAGGAGGGGCAGACGAGTACACGAGGTCGCGAATAAGTCCCCTGGTCTGCCGCAAGCACTCGCGAGGGGGATCCTGCCACGCCGGGGAGTGCGCTCAAGGATCCAGCGTGAGAGTGCAGAGCGATCCCAAAAAATAGTCCAGCCCTGAACAAAGGGGTCACAGAGCAACCCCAAGCAGGACTCAGACACAGACAGTAGACTACTGGAAGGCTCAAACAAACAACCCAAGGTCATATAAAGTCAACAACTGACATCATCAGAGGCAGGTCCAGAAAGAAAAGTAAAGGGAAAAATAAATAAATATATAAATAAAAAGACCCACCTACTACCATAGAA